GGGGGGGGGGGTGTCCTACTTCCCAGCACAGGTTCCTGCTACAAAAATATCCTTGCTTTGACTTTGAGGAGGGATGGACAGAACCTGGTTTCCTCACCTGTAGGAGGAGGAAGACCTCAGCCCACCATGGCGGTCTTTGTCTGGGCCTTTTTGGGCTGCTGAGAGGAGGCCTGGGGACAGGCGTTGGGTCCTTGCCTGCCCTGGCTGCCAGAAGGAATGTGCTGAGTCCCAGAGGCATGTGGCTCTGGGGATGGGGAATCTTAGGAGGAACGTGTCCAGTGTTCTGAATGCTTGACCCCGAGTGTGGTCAGCATGGGTGGGGCCCTCCCTTGGCTTGAGGAGGCCCCTGCGGCCCGTGGGTCAGAGGCACAGCTTCCTACAGGAAGAGCCACATATGTCGATTGAGGGAAACCCATCCATAAAAATCCAGACTGCACTCGGGAGAGCAGGTGGTGGGTGGGGCTGCAGGCCTTCCAGTCCCCCTTACTCTGTATTTGTAAGTACCTTCTTCTCAACACCCTCCCCCAACAGGGTGTCTCAGTTGTGTGGAGCTGCCCCTTGAGCCCCTTGCCCCCTCCGGTTCACTGTGTGGCTATACAAGCTGTGAACTACAGTTTATGAACTATGCAAGCTGTTCTCCAGGTGTGTGGCAGGGAGCCCCCAGGTACAATTCAGAGAAAAGGGTCTACTGCCTATCTGAGGCCAGTCAGTGGACAATCCTTACGCCTGTTGGGGTCATTTTCTTTTTGGGCAGCACCACCTCCTCCTGCCTGGGACTTGGGGAGGGGCAGAGGTGAGGAGGGGAGCGGCTACCCTGCCCCAGGCCCTGCCCTAGGCCCCACCCCAGACCCCACTCAGGCCCCGCCCCCCAGGCTGGTTCAGGGACTGTTCTTGCCCTAGCCCCAAGTGGCTCTGAAGACTGGAGGACAGGTCCTGCCCACAGAGGTCTAGGAGAGGATCAGCTGTCTGTGGCCTGGAGGGGGTGGGGGCTAAAGGGCCACCCTGCCCCCAACCTTGTCTGAGCACCAACCCGGAGCTGTACACGCCTGCTCTTGCTTGTGGGGAGTGGGGGGCAGGGGTAAGGGAGTCCTCTGCACTGACCTGCCACCCCACACCTTGCCCTAGCTGGGACGGGGTCAGCGCAGCAAGGCTCCAGGCTCTGACATTTGCCACTTGCCGTCCCACCGGCCCTTCCAGTTTCTCCCTCCTCAGAAGTCCCCTCCCTTTCAGGGCCCTGGGCGAGGCATGGGGACCAAGCTCAGGACACACTGGAACATGGAGCCCTTCCTCAGGAAGCGGCTGTCCTTCCTGTCCTTCTTCTGGGACAAGATCTGGCCGGCAGACGCCCAGGACCACAGCATCCCTTGCTTCCCGGACCCTGATGCTGACTCTGAGCTGGAGTCCCCAGCCCCTGCGCTCTGCAGCCCCCCTGCGCCCGGGCAGCTCTTCAAGGCACTGTGTGACTTTACTGCGCGGTGTGCAGGCGAGCTGAGCTTCAGCCGTGGGGACAGCCTCTTGGCCCTGAAGGAGGAGGGTGACTACATCTTTGCCCGCAGGCTTGCTGGCAGGCCCAGCGTGGGGCTCGTGCCTATTGCCTACTTGGCCAAGGCCACCCCGGAGATGCTCTCAGACCAACTGTGAGTACCATCTGCTCTGGGAGTCAGAAACAAGTGGGCTGAGCCTGGGGGTCGCCAGTCCAGGATCACGGTGGGGTCCTTCGCCCACTCAGCAGCAAGTTCCTCCTGGCCCTGCCTCACAGCAGTGAACACAGAGCTTGGACCACGGACAGCAGTGACTCTTCCGGGTCAGGTCCAGCAGTAGGTCAGCTGGACAGCGTGTATGCCTGTCACACTGGACTCTGTCTGTCTGGATGATCAGGAAGGCCCTCTTACTCTCACACAGGGACTCAGCCCTGGATGGAGCATTCTAGGAGGCACATTCCACAAGGTGGAATGTGGTCACTGCTAAGTGGTCACTGCTGGAGGGCAGGGGCAAGGGTCTGGATGCTGTTCGAGTGAGACACACACAGCCCCTGTGCTCTTGGAGCTCCCAGTGAGGACATGAGTGTGCAGAGAGGCCATCGGACGTTCTCTTGTGCTCTGAGGGGGGAAGTGGTAAGGTCGTGACTGGGGGGTGGAGGGAGGCACAGCTAGGTCAGAGAGGTGCGTTTACCTGCCCTTCTCCCTCATCCACATTCATCCAGGCCCCCTCCACCTGCACTGGGCCAGGTATGGGGCAGACATGACCCTGGCCTTTGGGATTGCTCGGAAAGGGGCTCTTTGGGGAGTGGACACAGGTAGGGGGAGCACAGAGTACCTGAGGCACTGAGGGCAGCGTCAGTCCACAAGCAGAAAGTAGCCAGCGTGAATATCTGGAGGTTTG